CACGTACTATCCACACTAACTTGGGAAACCATTGTTTTCTACTTTTTGCCATCGAATAATCAAAGCCACCTACAACGTGGTCCACTTCAACTCACCTTAAACAATGCAGTGCAATGGCCCAAACAAAGTACTTTGACCACTGCTCTCATGATCCGTACGCCACCACCGGAAGGAAACCGACTTTTCATTGCCAAAAGAGCGTCATGTCAATCAACTGGACGTGAGCCAGCCATGAAAACTCTAGGTACACACTTCCACACTTCCCTGGTAGCTGCAGTACACAAATTCTACAAAATTACAGGATGTTTTTTTCTTCTCCTTTTCCATTTACTGTCTTTGTTTCTCTCTTACATTTCCGTTCCTTTCCGTACATATATTTTACGTATTGACGAAAGAAAATTCCTCCGGACAGCCACAGTCTATAGGACTTGGATGTTTTCAAGCCTAGGCCTTACGTCCCCCTGACTGACGATCACTCCCAATCTCCGTACGTAGAAAAGAAAAAACATTTCCATTGCGCAAGTGGCGAGCAAGTTAAACATTCTTGGCCCCTCTCTCCTCTCCGCCAATCGATCGCCTCGACACGTTTGAAACCTTTTTAAGCTCGCTCAAGTCTAGACCGGACCGAGCTTTCGGCGGTATCAAAACTTTTCAGGGAGAGGCTCCTCCATGATATCGCCTTTACTCGCTTCTCGGTTCTGTCAACTTATCTCTCTTGCGTTGCGTGTGATCATACGCAACCACGACTGTATACAACAGTCGATCGGCGCAGCCTATAAAAACACGAAGCTCGCCGGACGGACGCCTGTTGCTCTCGGCGCGTACGAGCTCGTGGGGCCTGGAACAAAGCTTGAAACCAGTCCGGCATTCTATATATACTGACTATAGCCTGTCGTGGTGGCCAAAACCAAAAAAATTGACACGACAACAGTGTACGGTTTTTTTAGACTGTCGAAAAAAAAAAAAAAGAAGCAGCAGCAGCAGCAACAGCTGCAGCAAAAAGAAATTTCCCCAAACCTCTCGCTGCTGTCTTTTTACCACTTTGAAAAGTTTTCCAGCACGGCCCAGACTATAGCGGAGCTGCAAAATCGATCAATAATTCACGCGAGAGGTTTGCTTCACGCTTAGCCGACTTACTACTTCCAAAGGCTATCCGTCGAGAGCTATATAGGACTGCTGGCTGGCTGGACCGACACACCACTGCTCAGCGATCTCTTCCCTTCCAATCCGGTTGTTGCAACTTTTATCTGTGGTCTATCCCTCCCACCGTGGATCATAAGTGATCAGTCGGGACCGATTTTTCATCGCTGAGCACTGATGAGCATGCTACTCCTGCTGCCACTGCCGACCCTCTGATTGATACAATGAGAGTACTCTGGTTGATGCCCAGAGTACTTTCAGCGCTAGTGTCGAGGAGCGACACCCGAAAGAAAAAAAACTTGTGAACCATCACCACCATGCACCAACAACAGCCTCTTTCTTGCTTTCGGATCCGCGAGCTGTGCCTTTGTAAAGTCACCGCACCAAGTCCGAGCGCGAGGCAGTAAAAAGTGAGTAGAGAGTTTTAGCCGGCACCAATTGCCATGGTCAAGTCGAGGTTGGGAGGCCTCCTGTTGCTCGTGTGCTCCAGCTTGAACGTAGGCTTCGCCATGGATGATCTCTGTGCACTGGCTTGGTTCCAGTGGCAAGTCGACGCAGTCGGACTGGGACTCGGTCTCTCTGGGAATTGCTGATGACGAGAGAAGCTGCTGGTCGCAGTGCTGCTGCTGTTGGGGAGAGAGAGTGAGAGCGTGCTGTCGACGAGCTTGCCGTCGTCCTCGAGCAGCCCCGGCAGACTGATCCGGAAGTCGAGCACATTGCTTCGCTCTGCGCCGTGAATTTCTCGCGTTGGCTCCGAAAGTGTACCGCTCTGGAGATTACACATTCTCAGTACTCAAGCGGCCAAAAGGATATAAACACACTCACTAGTAGCAGCTGTCGAGTTTCCCGCTTGTCGTCGCTTCTGCTGCTAGAGCTACGGTTTATGTCCAAAAAGTGGAAATTCTCGTACCCGGCAGCAGCATGACCGCCGTTTCTGACCTCGGACGCTTGCGACACGGTGTCTTTCGGACATTCCCGCGTGCAACTTCTCTTTCTTCTCCGAAATCCGTCAGCGAGCTCCGGAGCTTGGAGTGCATCGTCCGTGACATGGAACTCGCGTCCCTGCCACTCCCGGAAGCAGCACAATCCAGATCCATGATCGCTCACATCTCCTGGCCATGCTATGCACGGGCCGCTCGAAGTGTCACATCTGCTAGTCGCACACAAACTTATTATCATTTCTCGAAGCTTCTTGAGAACAAAACCATGGACGGATGGAGTTACCTTATGCTCGGGCTGTATCGATTCGTAGTCGCGAGTAGCGCACCTTGGACCGTTGGCTCTGGATGTAAATGGCTGTTGTTGTAAAGCGATGAACGCTCGCTTTGGTCGTGATCCGGGAGCACGAACTCGCCTGGAAACCTTGCCGCTCGCGGAGACTGCGAGTCGGATATGCTCTCTCCATCGGTTTGAGTGTTAACTGCACAGCACGAAGCGTGCGACTATAATGTTATATCATGGATCGAGATAGAACACTGGGATATCATTGCAGATTATATCCAAACCATACCATTGAAGTTCTCATCGCTTTTCATGCTTCTATACATCTGCAGCAACACCCAGCCGATGAGTACATAGGCAAGGATTTCGCAAAAACCATCGACCAACCTGGAGATGGCTCTTGACATGGGCGATGGTGAGGCCTTTGACATCCATGAGCTGAAGAACAAGCTTGGGTGTGGCTCCTGCGATCCAGAAAAACGAAGTTAGAACACTGAAAAACTGCAGGAGCTCTCGTGACAATGGAAATGCGACTCGGCCATCAAGCCGAAACAAGCATTCTCGGAAATCCTCGAAAAGGAAACAAGAGAAAGTTTCCAGGAGGAAATTCTTGTTTAAGGAACATCTCTTTTTTCTCCGCGTGATATCGTGAGTTTTCTCTTCTTGAGATGGAACTTACTCTCTTGCCCTCCAAGCCGCTCCACCGCGCTCACAAAGCTGTGGTGAAGATCCGGCGTCCATCTCAGCCGTGGCAATTTGGACCGGACATACTGCCGTACCGCGCCTCCAGTCCGAGCCATAGCTAATAAGATCCGGCCAAGAAAGAAGCCGACCCCGCCGAGAAGGCCGATCGATGCGGCGATCGGCGGCCGAAATATCCTCCTGGGAGCTCGAATCGGGCAGCCTGCTGCTCGCTCAGTCACCACCGACGGCTTGATCGAGCCGAGCAGGCCAAATTCCCATCTCCCGATGCCGCTCCAAGAACAAATCGCCACAGCCGCTCCCAGAGATCGCTCTCAATGGTCGCAGCGGCAGCGCGCCCAGCAGCAGCAGCTCCGGCGAAGCGATTGACACCGAAATCTCGCACGAACCACTTGCGCCGGGGGCACTGCTCTGGCGGGGAGGATCTGCATGGCGCGATGGATCGGATCAAAGAGCTGGGGAAGCGAGCAAGAAGAAATCCAGCGGAAGACGAAGACGAAAGCCACAAAGAAGTAGTGGCAAAAAGAAGCGGAATAAAAAAGAAAGGGAAACGGGGAGACGAGAAAGGGCGGGAAATGGGCCACGGTGGCCACAAGTACCGCCTCGCGGCCGTACATGGTCCACGCACCCTTCTTTAACCCGGAGTTCGTTAAGACAGTACTTATGTCCTAAAGCCGGCCCTAAAACGGGTATTTTGGTTTGATGCATTTGTCGGTGTACTTGTACTGGTTTATATTCCATTTCCGTGTATGCGGTATGGATGCGTACTGCGTAACCCCTGTTGTTGCCTGCGTACCAAAGTGAAGGAAGGAAAGAAGAAACCCTCTTCGTGAGATTCGTTGGTTTTGTTTTTGGGAGCCCCACAGTGGAAACAAGAAGCCTTCCATAGTCAAATGCTGGGCCATGCCGAGATTTAAGATTTCAAGACCACAAGAATGAATGAATCCCCTTTTGCATTTGTATATTGCACTCGCGCCTGCCACCATCACGTAAAATTTTGTATGTGGGGAGATTTTTGAGACGTCACCCTCCATCAACACCAAACAAAACATGATGCGTGGAATGAAGTGAATTATGAGGAACAGAAAGATTATAATTCCCTGTTGCTGTTGTTGTTGTTGCTGTTCACCATATCTTGTTGTTCTTTTGTGTTATTTTAGATTTTTCCGTGCCCAACTACAAAGCATAAGATTGAATCCAAGACCACAATGGAGAAGTGCCAAACAGACATCCTAAGAAAGGTCCAGAAAAGTGGGTCTTGGCTCAATCTCTGACTTGAAAAACTTCGCAGTACCAATTCCAAGGCGCTTGAATACTTAATGCTTAGGAATTTTATTTGTTTGAGCTACAACGCTTGCATGTTAGCTATGCCCACACGCCCTTGCAACTTTCGTAGCCATACGTCTGCCACAGAGATGCAAAACAAGAAACGAGAAATAAATAGAATTGTATACAAATACCTTTAGAGAAATCTTTTGTAATCGAGTGATGCAAAGCCCCATGTTGGACTTCTTTTGCAACGTTTGTATGTTAGGCCATCTCTGTTTGCGATTTTTAATGTGGCCCCCTCCATCCTTTTCCTATGCTCGCTACATGCCCAATCCCAAATAGCTCCCATATTTTTAGTGCAATGTTGTTGGTGGCGGGCACCAATCATCCGAAAAACAGATTCAATGCTGTGAATTCCCAGCTTTGGCATTCGATCACCACAATATGGGCCCGAATATGCGCGTTGTGAACATTCCCTTGCGAACGGAATTAGGGCTGGGGACGGACGCTGACGGCTGCCCGTCTCATCCGCCCTGGTAAGTCATAAATGCAGGGGTGGGGCCTGACGTATATGACGGGCGCCCCTCTCCAGGTTCGTATGTACACGAAGAGGGGCGGATTTGAGAGGACAGTGCACTGCATTGGCAAGATCTCTCTTTTGCAGGGGCTACCTCGTACGGCATTTGTGGACCAAAAATTAGAATATCAGGGTGATGTCCGAAGAATAATTAGGCACCGACCCAGGATAACATGGTTGCGGTGAGCGTGGATCGAACACGCGACCTTCAGATCTTCAGTCTGACGCTCTCCCAACTGAGCTATCCCCGCTTGTCAGTTTTGATTAGCACTAATGCCTATTTTGTTATCTAAAGCTTTTGAGCACTCTGAGCGATGGAGGGGTGATCGATGGAGTTTTGGGGACTCTACTCACGGTACTGATGCTTTGCCTTGGTCTCTTGGACTGGCTCTGGCTACCGGGCATCCTTCTCTTGACTGTGATGAGATCCCCTTTCTTGGCTTCTTGCGTGATCTCCGGTAGAAACTTTGTGCCCTGGAAAATGGAAGAATATCAGCACGAAACATCGCGAGAACCCAAATGGGGTCACTCACCAGAGCCTGGGACTCGCCGCCCTCCCGCGCATTGATCACCATGGCGGTGATGTCTTGCAGCGGCCTCCTGGGGAAGTACCAATCCGGCAATGGGCTTCTCCTTTTCCTGCTCAAGAACACCTCCTCTGCCTCCATCCCTAATCTGGGCTCCGGATCCTCGTTCTCCAGGATCTGTGCGGTGCTCGCGAGATCGATTGCGCTGCTCGCTGGATCGATGCTGCTGCTGGCCATTGCTCGCACCCCGAGCTGGGATCGCGATGGACAATGCGGGCACGCCAAGAGCAGCGGAGCGAGCGAGCGCGATGGGATCTAGAGACCCTAAGAGATTTTGGAGGGCGATTTAAACGCGGCGAGCCGCGGGGGAGGGAAGCGCTCATTCTTTGCGAGGGATTTTCAGTTTCAAGCGGATTTGCGGAAGAGAGGGAAAATACAAAAACGATGGATGGGGAATCCTGGCTGCTGATTCCCTACCGCATTACTGTCCTTGTCCCCCTTTCAAATGCAAGTATTTTTTTTCCAAACCAGGGAGGGAAAGTTTGACCTAATATCGTTACCTTGGTTTTGAAAATTTTGCAAGAGAAATATTGAAACGTACAAAGTTTTAACTGCCAATTCCAGAATGACCAGGCGATGGGCGGCCGAGATGCGACGATGCCCGTAGGAATGTCTAGCTGAAGTGCCTCACAAAAAGGGAATGGGAATCGCCCACACACCTCTTCGCGGTTAAAAGCCCCGGCATTTGTTCTTCCTTCCATCCTCGTGTGATCTGATCCATCCCATTGGAAAGTTCTCTCTCGATCGATCATCTGATCGATCGCTGATCGGGGAGCCATGGGATTTTCTCGCTGCCCATCGTTAGCGATTGCAATGGCGCTCGCAGTGCTCGCAGCGGGCACGAATTGTGCGACTGCGCAGCACATCCAGGCCTTTTTGGAGGCCCACAACCAGGAGCGGATGCAAATGGGCGTGCCGGCGCTCCACTGGGACGACGAAGTGGCGGCTTACTCGCTGTGGTGGACGAACCACCAGAAGGATTACGAGAGCTGCGCGATGAGGCACTCGGACGGTCCCTACGGCGAGAATCTCTTCTGGGGCAGCCCGGGAAAGGAATGGTCGCCGCATGATGCTGTCAAATCTTGGGTTGATGAGAAGCAGCACTTCAATTACGAGGGAAACAGCTGCGCCCAGATGTGTGGTCACTACACGCAGCTTGTCTGGAGGGACTCGACGAAATTGGGATGTGCCACCGCGACTTGCCCCAACGGTGACACTCTCATCTCCTGCAATTACGACCCGCCCGGGAATTACATCGGCCAGCGCCCCTTCTGATCCGAACCCCATGGAGCTCTGTTTTAGGTTTATGCGCAAAACCGCGCCAATAATTTGAAACATCATTTTTAAAAGCTTGAAATATCAGTGCTAGAAAGAAAGAAATACGAGAATCGAGAAACTCAAAAAGACTGGTAAATTTTGGTGATGGATGGACCATGCCAGAAAACCACTACGTAGACTGGTGCGTCCTCGCAATAACAATGCAGTAAGCTTTTAGTTCCACTTCTTTCAAAAAAGCCCAATAACTTCTCACCCGCAGCTCCTGCCATGCAAAATTTCTTCACGACTAGTTACGCAAAACCAAATGTTTATTGGTTCTCAGCGTGAATGCATTCTTGCCGAGAGGCTATGAATTCTTTCTGGATGAATTGACAAACTTGATGAAACTAACACGTATCTCGAGTAAATTGAGAGCGAGGGAAGAGGAAGAACACGAGAGCGATGACAGGTTTATATTGAACGAGATAGAACTCAAAAGGATCCCGGGCATAGTGACCCGCTGCTCTTCCTAGCGTTCCAAAAACCAGGACGAGAAAGAACTCGAAAGGAGCTTTCCAAATGCTGCCGCAAGGCTATCTAATCGAGATGTAAGTGCATTGGTAGAGTTCGATCAAGTGGGCTACGTGCTTCTAAGGAGATTAATCGGATGTTTTTTTTCCATTGAAATCTAGAAACATACAATGCAATCTGAAAGAATGCCTCTTCCCTTCTCATGTTCAAAATTTTGTTAAGAGTGTTCCTGCTGAACTTCTAACTCTATATACGAATCCAGTTGGAGCTTGACATGCTAGGGAAGAACGTCTCTTGTTCCCGGGACGAGCATGGCGAGCCGGCATCGCGGCGCTGCTCAAGAAGGAGTAATCCGGCTGGAGCCCCTGACTACTGCCTACAACCGCGGTCCCGTGTCCATTACGCGCAGCTGCTGTGCGCCATCGTGATGTCCATTTTGGCGATCTTCCGAGCATTTCCACCGTCGCCCTGTCCTTAAGGCCTCTAGCACGAGCAAGAAACGCGAGCAAGCGTTCGAGTTCTTCGTCGTTCCAGCCATCAATCCAAAGGCCGCGCTGGATCCGAGATAAGACTTTTGTGTTCTTGCCTCCAGATCGATCGACCATCCATTCCATCCTGCACAGGCTAGGGTGATTATATCAACTTCTTGTGCGCGGTTCCATTCTCAAGCAAAACCTCTCTAGCAGTTTAACTTCGCTGCTATGGTGGATTCCATATAGATCCACGCCCGAAAATTCGATTCTTGTACCGGCGCATAAGCCGCATTGTCGCGCTGCCATGCCCACAGGCTAAGATTTCATTCCTGTCTTTGCTTTCTACGTGAACGTCTGTCTTTTGGTGGCAGATCTTCGAGGAGAGAGAACATTCTCTTGGTAAAAGAGAAATTTTAACTTTACCAGCCACATTGTTTCATTCCCTTTGCCTGGCGATGGCGGCGGTGCTTGTGGGATCCAGCGTTAGGGTTCCCAGCGCGGCATTGCTAGGTCACGCTCCGGGCGTGGTGGAGCGCGGCGCCGCGGCGCGCGAGGAGCGCCTCAAGCAATGGCTGCGAGGTATGACGAAGCACCGGCAGCTGGATTTCGACACCATGGGATTCGGCCGTGGAAGGAATGGATTTGGGATGATCGCGTCGGGCGCGATCGACAAGGGCAGTGTTCTTGCCGAGGTCCCGCTGCAAGCATTCCTCTCGGAGAAGACGGCCGAGCGATGCCTCCTCGTCGGACCGATGCTGCGCAAGAATGACTTCCGGCCATGGCTGACAATGTGCGCGCATTTGCTCGTGGAGAGATCCCGCGGCAAGGAGAGCTTCTGGCATCCATACATCTCCGCGCTCCCGTCCGTGGAGGAGCTCTCGATCAGCCACCCGCTGCTGTGGCCCGCCGAGACGATCCAGGAGCTGCTCCAGGGATCTCCGATGCTCGATACGATCGCCACCCGTCTAAAGCTTTGCCAGGAAGATCACGAAGCGCTGCTCACGGCCGGGATCGAGAAGTTCCTCCCGGGTGGTGAAACTCTCAGCGAAGGTGACGTGAGATGGGCCTCGGCTGTTCTTCTCAGCCGCGCCTTCTCGCTGGAGCTCGACGTGGACGACGATTTCGACACGCTGTGCCTCGTCCCCTGGGCCGACATGCTCAACCATTGCAGCTCCGCCGGAGAGGAGTCGTGCCTCATCTTCGACCAGGACACCAAGACGGCGAGCCTGGAAGCTCACAAGTCCTACTCGAAAGGTGACGAGGTGTTTGATTCCTATGGACCCGCACTCACCGGCTCGCAGCTCTTCCTCGACTATGGCTTCGTAGACGACGAGAATGAGAACTATGCGGTGGATCTGCCGGCGCAAGTCCTGGGCCCTGTGAGGAGCAGCGTCAACGCGGCTCTGCTCGAGGCGCTGGGACTTCCCGCCGGAGGCACGCTTGTTTCCATCGTTCCGGAAGGGGTCGACGAGAGTGTTCTCGCGTGGACGAGGGCGGCCATTGCGAGCCCCCGGGAGCTCTCCGCTGCCGGGTGGAAGTCCGATGGGAAGTATCAAAAGGCGATTATGTACTTCTCGGAGCCGATCAACCGGGACAACGAGTGCGAGGTGCTGAGGCGATTGATAGCGGCGTGCGAAAATCTGTGGAGCAAGTATCCCACCAGTCTCGAGCACGACTTGGACGAGTTAACTGGTGGTGAAAGCGACATGCGGACGACAACATGGGCCAGGAAACAGGCTGCGCTGCGCGCCATCGTCTGCGAGAAGAAAGCGCTCACAGCTGGGAAAACAGTTCTTTGCGGTTTTCTAGAGAAGCTGCGAGCTGGAGCGGCTTTGAAATCGCTATATGAAGTTGACCGGGAGGAAGGTTAGCTAAAGTCCACGTCTTATAGCGTGAACTGGAGGACAGATTCCTGGGCGGAAAAAAATAACACTCCAGAGCTCGAAGAGTCCAGGAGGAAAAGCAAGCAACTAGGCTGGATGGAAATCGTGCCGTGTCGTTTCGTGGCGAGTGACAAGATCCGTAAGGTACTATACGAAGACTAGCCGCAAGTGTGCACAACTTCTAGGAACGTTTGAAGTTCGACTGTTTGTGGCAACGAAAGATCGATCTGGAACAAGCGGCAAGAACCGAGGTAAGCAATTGCCTTGCCTTTCATTTTATCTACATGGAAACTCTGTTCCAGATGCCGCGGTTCATAACTATGGAGATTTTGGAAAGAGGTGTGTACGTCGTTTTAACTTTTCTCGGCTGGAAACACTCCTTTTCATCGCGCAGGCAGGCATTATTGATTGAGGCTGGAAGGGTGGAAATCCGTGCACAAACCACCTCGATGTTGCTGGAGTAGTGCAAAGGTCGGCTATCTTATAGGTAGCCACTATTGACTGGACGAAGCTAGTGTTCTTCGTGGCTATGGCGGTCGAGCGAGAGTACCGGTAGACGTGGGGGGAGAGAATTTCGTTCGTTGTCAACTTTGAGGTGGGGGAAAATCGTTTCTTCTCTTCGTTGTATTGATTAAATGCTCCTTTTTTTTTGTGTGGTGGTGGTGGAAACAAGCATGTCCAGTTGTGCGGCATCATCATCAATCGATTGAATAACACGCTGGTTGTGTGGAATTTAGACTAAGTAAATTGGAGGATCGATCGATCGATCTTGAGAAGGGGACGAGCAAGAAAGCATTGATCCAAAGCTATGGAACCAAACGATTTCTATGGAGTTTTGTGAGGCAAGGAGAATTTTCTCGGCCAGCACATACGAGACAAGACCATGGAACCACTCACAAAGAAAAGACGAATCAAAGTGAGATCAAACCATAACAACTATATAGTAACAAAAATCACGCACACAAAACCATGGCTACTACCACCTAAAGGAGAAAAAGAGGAAAGGAAAAAAAATATACAATATAAGAAAAAAAAAAAAGGCTCAGAGTATAAAATGCGGGCATAGGGCGCTCCACAATTCCCTTCTTTCGGAGCCTGCCTCCTCTTTGGAGGAGCAGCGCTTTCAATCAATCCCCCTCCAATCAATCAATCCCCCCCCTTTTGCTAGTTTTTTCTCTCCTCTCCTCCCATTCTTCCTCCTCCATCGCCTCGATTCTCCTCATTTCTTCCCCAGATTTCTCTTCCTCCATCGCCAGCGCCGGATTCCAAGATGGACGCCATGTCTGGACACTACATGCAGTTCTCGCCATCGGCAATCGCCGCCGCCGCCGCCGCCGCCGCGAGCTCGTCGCCGCATCGAGGAGGCGGCGTGGGCGGATCTCTCCGCGACCGCCCTTCCAGCTCGCAGTCGCCAGTGTCGGAGCACGAGAAGTAGGTACTTCGACTCGTGTGGGATTTCCTTGGATTTGGATGGGATTCGTGTGGTCGGGAGTGTGGATTTTGGATGTTTTCTTTTGTTCTTCGTGTTCTTGGTTGGGTGATTTTAGCAAAGGCTCATTCTTATAGCGTGTTTTTATAGGTACTTCGCGGAGCTTCTCGAGGAGCAGCGTAAGCTGGGACCTTTCTCGCAAGTTCTTCCGATTTGCAGCCGGCTTCTCAACGAGGGTAAGTGATCTTTGGCTCAGATTTTCTTCGAGATTTAGATCTGAGAGCTCGTGAGGCACACAGATGGATGGTTTTGTTTTTTTCCTTCCTTCCTGGACATTTCTTTTTCTTCTTTCTTCCTTTTCGCAATGCAAGGTTAATTAGCGGGCGATGAGCTTGCAAGCTATAGCTAAGTGTGCATGGATAGTATTTGACTTCGCGAGCTTTATAAACTAAAAGTCTTGGGTGGCTCTTTGTCTTTTTTTTTAACGCAGAGATACTGCGGATCACGGAATTCGCTAGGAGATGGCCTCAGATCGAGCAGGAATTGGATCGAGGGAGCCCTCTGTCGTCAATGTCCAACGGTGGCGGATGGTCGGACGTAAGTACGTGCAAACTCGGAGGCTTTCTCATGATCATGTGTTCGGATCTCCAGAGGCTGGGATTCGTCCAAACGCCGTCTTCTTCGAGTGTGTGGCATGGGAGTCCTGAATCGTCCGCTGGACCGACCTTGAAGAAGACCATCCGGATTGAAGTTCCAGTGGACAAGTATCCAAACGTAAGCTCGGTCGGAAGCTTTTCTGGATGACGACCTCTTTGCTTTTTCTTCCAGTTTAACTTTGTTGGTCGGATTCTGGGGCCCCGAGGCAACTCTTTGAAGCGCGTGGAGTCGATGACGCGATGTCGTGTGTACATACGGGGGCGGGGCTCGATCAAAGACGTTGCGAAGGTGAGTGAGAGAAGTTTTCCTCCGTCAGGGGCCCGTGCTGAGCAACCTTTTGCAACGCAGGAGGAAAAGATGCGTGACAAGCAAGGCTACGAGCATCTCAACGAGCCTCTTCACTTGCTCGTGGAGGCCGAATTGCCTGCAAATGTGATAGACTTCTACCTGACCAAGGCCAAAGAGATATTGGAGGATCTCTTGAGACCAGTGGTAGGACTTTCCTCTGTTTGCTACTGTTCATACTCTTTCTTACATGTTTCCTTACAGGATGAAACCGTTGACCTCGTGAAGAAGGCGCAGTTGCGTGAACTCGCCCTCCTCAATGGCACCTTGAGGGAGGAGAGCCCTTCACACATGAGTGGGAGCGTGTCACCATTCAGTAACGCGGGACTAAAGAGGGCAAAGACTCGCAAGTAGAAGGAGCCACGGTGGTTCTGGATGGACGAGAACAAGACACACAGGCGAGCCTCATAACAAAACAGCAACAGCAACACAGCAGCAGCAGCAGCCGAAACCTCTCTCGATTTTTTACTCTACGCGCAAGAGAGTGCTCCTCCAAACACGCAAGCAACAAGAGCTGGTGAGCAATCAGTCCGTTTGCCTGGAGTTTTCCCACGGTTTTCTATCTTCTTTTTTTTTTTCTCTCTCTCTCTCTCTCTTTCTTCTTTTCTTCTTTTCGTCTTTCTACGCTTGCATCTTTCTAAAGTTTTGGGGGTTCTCCTGGGTCGTTTTCTCTGGTCTGTGGTTCCTTTGGTGTCCCACTAATCCTGTGAGTGTTTCTATAGCCGAGCATCTAGTTTTGTAGCGGTCGTCTACGTATTAGTGATAATACAACAATTTTGTCTTACCAGTCGGTCGGTCGTCATAGCGGAGTGAGGGAGTTCCGAGTGATCTCTCCTTTAAAAGCAGTCTTCTCTGTATAGAAGCTAAGCTTATTCATTGTGTGAATATTGGTTGAGAGTTTTGTATGTATGTTAAGAGTGGTGTTGTGTTGTGTGGATGTGTGGTGTGTGTTTGGTTCCTTCATTGTGATTATCTCTTTCCTTCTGGGACGATGAACAAGATGATGTTGCTGCTGCCAATGATCTTTCCATCGTTTTTCGTTTTCGTTCATTTTTTCTCTAACATCTTTCTGAGCTAACCATGTCTGGATTTTTGGAGAGGCTAACTCATGATCCTTCCTCCGCTGCCGCTAAAGCTAACCTTGACGTGAGACGAGGTAACTTTTCTTCTAACAGCTGACTCGGGTGTTTGCCTGACGAGTTTTCGATTCATCCATTTCAATCGACTGACTCGTGATTATGTTTGTCCCAGATCACGGCAAGAACACAACCAAGATCTGGATCACTGCAAGATCTCCCGGAATCAGGACGAAGCGCTTCAGGTTGTGAATTTTCGCGGCAGTATATTTTAAACGGGTATTCGCTCTAGAGCGCGCGGAACTTTTTAAAACTGAATATTCCTTTCGAATATAACACTTTATATCATGCGTCACGTTTTAAACACAGCCTCCAGCAAAGGCTCGAGGCGATGGCCACGGCCACGACACTGCCCACGAAGTTCCTGGAGCACAGCATCTCTTTCCAGCTGAGAGGCGCGGTCGTGATCTTCTCCACGAGCTCCTGGATCTGCTGCTGGGTGAGCTCCAAAGATCCCGAGTTGTCGATTACAACGTCGGCCTTCTCGCGCTTCCAGTCGAGAGATCTCTGGGAGTTGATCCGGTTGCGCGCCTGTTCTTGGGAGAGGCCGTCGCGGGCGATCAATCTCTCCTCTTCCGTGTCGGCGTCCACCCACACTACCACCACGGGGCTCGTGTAGCGATCCATGCCGGTCTCGAAGAGCAAAGGGACGTCCAATACCAGTACGGGTGTCCCAGCGATCCAATGCTTGAGAACATCCCAGAGCATAGTTCGAGCAATCACTGGACCCAAGGCTCTGGAAGAAAAAGATTTTCGAGGTTCGAGGCTTAGGAGAAAGAACGATGTTCCTGGCGTGATCTCGAAATATTTTACCTGTCGAGGAGCTTGCGCTGGGAGGAATCCGCGAACACGATGTTGCCGAGCTTCTCGCGATCGACATTGCCGTCGGGGAGGAGGATGCCCTTGCCGAAAATCTTCAAAACCCTTCTGTAGCCGGGCGTGTTCTTGCGCAATGCGGCCTGCCAGTCAAGATCAGAGTGGCGGATCGGAGCAATGCGCATTTTCGTGTCTGGCGAAGAAATCGCCAAGAATTTCGTCGGGAAGCAGCAAGAAGAGGGACACTTACGCGTGCGATCTTGTCAGCGTCGACGACAGGCAAGCCGCTGCCATCTCGCAGCTCCTTCGAGACGGTGCTCTTCCCTGACGCGATCCCGCCAGTCAATCCCACCACTCTCATCGCAAGAGCCCTAAAATATGTGTCCTGTTATTAGGGTTCTAAAGGCGACCATTTTCTTCTTTTAAACGATATCTCTTACATGAATCACGAATCCGTTGTAGTCTAGTCGGTCAGGATACTCGGCTCTCACCCGAGAGACCCGGGTTCAATTCCCGGCAACGGAACTTATCGTATTATTTTCTACCTCATGTAGAATTTTTTATTTCGAATTTTAGGGTTTAAGCGATCACAGTATGCCCCATGGCTGCTGCTGGGGGCAGCTGGGCGCCATGGGGGAGCGGCCTCCCCGGTCGATTGCACGATTTCGTGAAGACTGTGCTCCTCCAGCAGCTAGTTTCGCCCGGCGCAGCGGTAGCGTCTCATTCTCACTTGCCTCACTCTAAGGTTTGCTCAATCGCGATGCACAGGTGTGTGATCTTCTGTGCGGTAGAGGGACGGACACGGCGAAATTTGGAGCGGCGGGCATTGGTAGCTACGTGGGGCTCGGTATGTGTTTGTGCCTCTCCAGAAGTGTTTTTCATCTTAAATTCTGGCCAGATTTGTCCGCGTCGGCTCTCCAGGATGCTGAAGAGGAGTGGAGAACTCTCGGCAAGCCGTACACTGCGAGCTTCTGCCAGCTTGATCCTTTTCTCGTACGCTCTTGACATTCTTCTCAAGCTTAGCAAAATCAAATCTTGCAGGGAGACCTTGAATCGAAGCTGCAGGATAAGGAGCTCCCATTTGATACCATCTGTTGTTTGGGACATTTGCAGGTGTTTGTATATTTCTTTTAAGATTGGAGTTCTATCTCTGTTTCTCTTTTTTTTCCGTAGGACTCGTTCTCGAGCGAAGAGAAAGTAAAGCAGCTGCTGGAAAACGTTGTTAGCTTACTAAAATTTGGCGGCATTTTCTTTGGAATCACTGCTGATGCTTCAACACTCTGGTTAGTTTCTCAAAGCACGATTTGTGGCAGTTTACCTTTTCTTGTATCAGGTCGAAGTATCAAAAAGCTGTTGAATCGGCATTGAAGACAGGAACTTTACGTCCTGGCAGCACAATTCCCCGTGTCAAAGCCGAACTTTACACCATCACTTTTGACGATGATCGGTTTGTAATTCCCTGGCTATATTCTCGGTGTATAACCCGTTGGTGTTTGTGCAGATTTAATATATTTGGGACAAGGTATCAGCTGCGTTTTGCTGATGATGGGCTTGCCCCTCAGAGCCAACTCCTCGTCCATTTCCCTAGCCTTATCAGGTAATGATAATTTCCTCTCTACTGTTAGTTCACTGTCGTGGCGACTTTAATAGATTGGCTAAAGAAGCTGGGCTGGAATTTATCGAGATCCAAAATCTGGACGAGTTCTTTGAAGATTATCGGTATACACAAAGTCCTGTAATATTTTCTTAGTTTGATGTTTTGGTTTTCTCCTGATAGGCATCTCTTTGCCGACGCATTTACAAGTAACTGCTCGAGCTTTTTAGATCCGAAAGGAAAGCTCATGGCACCAATTCGCGATGTTCTTAGTACGTGAGCCGTTTTTCACTTTTCATGTTCTAATGACTTTGTTCAGGTTTGTATACTACGTTCATATTCAGAAAAGCGGAATCCTATTCCCCAGGTCGACCAGCTCTTCAACCTACTTATGACCTGAAGGAGTCGATATCTACGCTAACAACGGAAGTGATCAAAGTTACTGAGCAGAAGCCGGAATTGCGATCGTTTTCTCGTAGATCGCATAAAAATTCAGATGGCGAGACAAAGAAAAAGTCGATTTTCCGTAAAGACACGGAAGACAACAGTAAGATTGAAGCCGTGGAGGAAGTTAAAGCTGAAGTAGTCAAGGAATTACGAACTTACGAACGTGCTCAACGTGACTCCAGAAGAAGAGGTTCCGAGAGTAGAGCCCAGGTTCAAGAAGCTGATTCCAGAAAGCAAGTAGCAGAAAGTCAGGGGGAATCGGCACAAGAGGACGAAGGAGGCGTTCGCAAAAGCGGCATGGACTCTACGAAGTGTCCGGACGTGGAAAACGATTCCTCGAGGTCTACGAAGCGTTCTGAGATGGAAGACGAATCCTGGAGGCCTACAAGGCGTGCAGACTTGGAAGAAGATTTCCGAAGATCTGCTAAAGGTGACGATGACTCCAGGAAGTCTGCGAAGCGAGCGGAGACGAGTGACGATTCTCGAAGGTCTACCAAACGTTCAGATAAGGATGACGATTTCAGGAGGTCGACAAAGACGGATGACGATTTCAGGAGGCCTGCAAAACGTCTGGAAATGGAGGAAGATTCTAGGAGATTTTCCAAGCGGCTAGAGGCGGACGATGACTCCCGGCGGAGTTCGAGACGTCCAGAGGATTCCAGGAGATCTTCGACAAAGCGTTCAGACGTAGATGAAGATGTTGGGAGGCCGTCAACAAGGCGTTCAGAGGCGGACGATGATTTTCGGAGGTCTGCAAGGCGGCCAGAGATGGATGACGACTGCAAAAAGTCTGCAAAGCGGCCAGAGGTGGATGACGACTCCAGAAAGTCTACAAGGCGAGGAGAGATGGATGACGACTCAAGAAAGTCTACGAAGCACGAAGATGATGCCAGGAGGTCCACTACAAGACGTCCAGAGGCGGAAGATGATTCTAGGAGGTCTACTACAAGACGTCTGGAGGTGGAAGATGATTCCAGAAGGTCTACTACAAGACGTCCCGAGGTGGAAGATGATTCCAGGAAGACTACAAGACGTCCCGAGGGGGAAGATGATTCCAGGAGATCCACTACAAGACGTCCCGAGGCGGATGATGATTCCAGGAGGTCTACCACAAAGCGTCCAGAGGCGGATGATGATTCCAGGAGGTCTGCTACAAAGCGTCCAGAGGCGGATGACGATTCCAGGAGATCATCTACAAAGCTTCCAGAGGCAGAAGATGATTCCAGGAGGTCTACCTCAAAGCGTTCAGAACCGGAAGATGATCCCCGGCGGACGGAGGAGGACTCGAGGCGGTCGACTGCAAAGCGTCCAGAGACGGATGACGATTCCAGGCGGCCAGCAAAGCCTCGAGAGGCGGACGACAGGCCTACAACGCGGGAAGAGGTGCTTCCAGAAGTGGACGATGAGTCCAGGAGGAAACACCACGAAGCCGACGTTCTTCCACCATCAAGAACGTCAACTCCGCCACCTCCGCCACCTCCGCCGCCACCACCGCCGCCGCCAGAGACCGAGGCAGAAGCAGCAGTAGCATCAACTTCGACGACTTCCACTCCGACTTGTTTGGAAGCGGCGGCCGAAGTAGCAGCGCCGGAGCCAACCGGAGAGGAAGCTGCGCCGCCGTCAAAAGCTCCACCCGTTTACGAATACAAGAGGAGGAACCAGCATCGCTGGGTGAACAAGGCTTACATCCAGCCGCAAGCACCACAGCCGCCTCCACCGCCGCCGCCGCAAGCATTTCCAAGCCCAGGTTCCGAGATGGAGCTTCGAGCCGAGATGGAAGCTTACCAGCGGAGGCTCAACGTTCCAAGTATCTTGGGACCAGGACCAGCAGTTCCACTCATGATCCATGCTTTCAGGAGAGGAGACGCGAGTAGAAACTACATGAAAGACCGCAGCTTTCACAGGTAAAATAGTCTTCTCTCTGTTTCCCTCGTAGTGTTTGCTCCAAGTTGGTATTTTATAAGCGAGGCTTGTCGAGAGCTTGGAACAGGATGAACAGGAAAAAGCATAGCTCGACTGATATAAGATGGTTTCCCGAGAAACAGTCTTTTGTAAAGAGATTCTACAAGTAACTCATGTACTTGACTTCGATCTTCTCTCAGTCTGTCTTCTGCTGCATTCCAGGGGGATACAAGACTTTCTCGGCGCTCGGGAAGCTGTCCATGATGACTTTGGTGACTGGCTTCCCTGGCTGTAGCTCCTTGACGAACAAGAGGCTTATGAAAGTCTCCAGGAGCTGGGGAACGAAGACGCGAAACAGGAGTGAGACCTTGTACCAGGTCGGCACCACCACGTAGCGCTCGCCCCTGGTGACCGCGGACACGATCTGCTTCGCGCAGTACTGCGTTGAAGCTACTGGAGAAGGGCCGACGAGAGTCTGCGAAGTGAAAGCTCGTGAGCGAACTCCAGAACTGTCGATACAGAGAATGGTTTCTCAAACTTACGTCGCGTATGTCAACGTTCATGTCGTGCTTCCCCTCGGCTGACATGAACTTGCCCATTGTCATCTCGCTGTGGATGTAGCCAGGCATGGCAATCGTCATTCCTCCTATATCTGATCGAAGCTCAGTCCTCAGGGTATCGAAGAAGTTCACCACGGCTGCTTTGGAGGCCTAGAAAATCCTTGTTTGAGACGAGCAAAGAAATACAAACTTTACGTTGTAGATTGACATCCTCGGGATGGGAAGCCAGGACGCAGTCGAGGCCGTGACGACAATCTTTCCTCGGCTCTTGCGGAGATGAGGCAAAGCGAAGTATGTAGTATAGACGCAACCCATGAAATTCACATCCTGCTCCACAGTTCACAGAAAGATAGAAAAAGGAAGAAAATAAGAAAGAAAATGCTGGACTTTACCATGATCTTGCGGAAGATCTCCAAACCTTTCGCTTCCTCGACGAAGAAGCTGTTCGCAATACCATGATTGCAGACAAGGTGATCAACTGTGTATCATAAAGATAAACTCGTTAGCAATAATCAAAGAAAAAAACTACTTGTCAAGCTTACTTTTTCCCAAGGTGTTGATCGTCTCATCCACAACCTTCTTACATTCTTCCTCCCTAGAAACGTCGGCGACAACCACCAGAGTATCAGTAGCACCCTCGGATCCAACGCGCTCCTGGACGTTCTTGAGTTGATTCTCTCGCCTCCCACAAAGCACCACCTTGGCTCCACGCTTGCCATACTCATAAGCCATGTACTATCCACATCAAGAAAGAGTTGGATCAAGCAATCTCTAAATCTCTAGAGAAAAAAGCAAGAAAAGACGATCGTACCTCTCCAATCCCGGAAGAAGCCCCAGTGATGACGGCGACCTTGCCGCGGACATTTTCCGCGAGCGCGTAGCTGAAAATCCATCGCCAGAAGCTCAGGAACGCGACCGCAGGCCAGGTTAACAGCAGGAAGACGAGGCCAAGCGGCGGCACCACAAGATTAAGCAGCATTTGTATCAAATCCATCTCAATCGCTTCCGAGCTCGCAAAGAACCCTAAGTTATGCTGTACCTCCTCTACGATTGCATGGCCTCCACATGTTCACTCTCAAAGTAAACCTAAAAACGGACTTTACCATTTTACTACTAACCCGGTAAAGGTAACTCTCTAACCCTGTAGTGTTGTCTTGTCAAAAAGCGCGCAGTAACGAATCGAATCTAATAATCACATATTCCGGCCAGCCACGTGGTCCAAAAAAGAGGAAAAGGGCGCCAGACGGCATATGCTGCCCGCCGGAAGGTTCTCCCGCCAATGCCGGGCGACGTCAGCGCAGATTCCCCAGACGGCGCGCAAACGGAATATTCTCTAAGCGGAATATCTTAGCTTTGCGGGGCAAAATATTCGCACTGCGAGCCAGTCCGCAACACGGCAGGGCGCCCTTCCGGTGCGCATTCTCTCGCACCAACAGGGGCGCGAGGAGGGGCGCCACGATCCCTTAGGGTAGGCTCTGGAGCGCCGGCGATGGGGCGTGATTCCTAGCCGGGCGGCGTTAGCAGTGTGGGTGTAGCGCCGCGGGGGAGGAGATCGATCGATCGGCGAGCCCTAGGGGCGGCAGCGATGTACCAGATGAAGAAATATCCCAGCCCGCAGCTGATTCCTCACAGGGGAGGAGCGATGCCGGCGCAAAGCGAGCCGCTCTACATCGCCAGCGGCGGCGATTCGGTGGTGTCGTCGATCGAGCCCAAGCCTCGGCTGCGCTGGACGCCCGAGCTCCACGAGCGCTTCGTGGAGGCCGTCACGCAGCTCGGTGGCGCTGACAGTAAGGATCTAGCTCTCCAAAAAAAATTTAGCTCTTCTTCCTAGGAGCTCGCCTCAAAGTAAGGTTTTTCTTTCGCTGTTTGCTCGCAGAGGCTACGCCCAAGTCCGTGATGAGAGTGATGGGCGTCAAGGGATTGACACTGTATCATCTTAAGAGCCATCTCCAGGTGAGGACGGTACTTTTGGTCAGAGCTCTCAAAATCAAGGGAGAACTTTAGAGGCCTAGCTTTTTCTTCTTCAAGTCTTCTTAAGTTTTGGCTGCCAATCTGCGCAGAAGTACAGGCTTGGGATGCAAATGCACAAGGAGAACAATGGCGATGGAAAGAAAGAAGGTGAAATTAAAGGCACAGCTACAAAAGATTTATTTTCTTTCCTTGCCTGGAAACTTCTAACCATAATCTAATCAACAGGAGGTGCTAAAGCACAGACCACTGGCTCACAAAACTCTATGAACTCCAACTTATCAGAGTAAAAATACCAGCTTTGAAGTATCTCTTTCGGACTCTTGACGTTTTTTCCTCGTATCCAGTGGCTACGAGATCAACCGGGCTCTCTCGATGCAAATGGAAGTGCAACGAAAACTCCACGAGCAACTAGAGGTATGTGTTTTCTCCTCGTGGAGGAAGGCAAGCCATCACTTGAACTCTAGAAGACTTCAAACACCTTTGCGCAGGTCCAGAAGCATTTGCAGCTACGAATCGAAGCGCAGAGCAAGTACCTGCAAAACATCCTCGAAAAGGCTCGCGACGCATTCGTGGGACACATTCCAACCTCGGCGGAGCTGGAGGCGGCGCACGCCGAGCTGACCGAGCTGGCCAAAGGAACTCTCGAGGGGTTTGAGTTCACAGTGCCTCCATTGCCGGAGCTTCCTTCGCCTTCGTCTGAGACGAAGGCAGCTAATCAAACTCCAGCAGCACCAACAGGGAAGAAATCGACCACATCAAATCTAACACTCAACCAGCAGCAGCAGCAGCGGGATGGCCAAGAACTAGACAGCGATCAAGCTGCGGAGATCGACATAACGACATAGTTCTCTCACAGCGGTGGTAATGTTTCAATACTCTTCTGACAGCCATTGCTAACAGCAGCTCAAAAGACCAAGAAGAAACAAGAAGTGAGAGAGAGGCACTGTACAAAATGTTTGAATGGTTTTTGGGTGGGAGGCGCCGATGTAAAGGACCTCGCTGTAAAATCGATGTAACTGGCAGGGAGATCTAACGCTAGGAAAGACAGTTCTTCCAATATATATAAAGATGGTTTATTGTGATGAGGGACGAGATTTGCGCATAGCGTTGTAGAACAGTGCACGATCGATTCATGCCCGCATTTTGCCTTGATTTGTTTCAATTCTAGACTTCAATGAGAAGTATGGCATTTGAAGACGTGAGTCAGTTCTTTGCAAATTGCCTTCCTCATTCTTTCCATTCCTTGCGCTAGCAGGCTGTGTTAAAACCCGAAGCATGCCATCTTCACTTCACCATGCTCTACGATCCAAAGCAGCCTCGAGAACAAAGATTCGAGAGCTGTACTGCCGAGACAATCAGGTAAACGCGTTTTTGTATTATCGATGAGATCATTTCGAACTTCGTCACCGGTTTCTTCCAGCACTGGTGCTTGCTGAAACATTCTCGTTGGCGAACTTGGCGACGAGTTTGGGATACGTAGTGTTGAGATCTGCCCTGCTGGTGTGCTCAGCTTAATCCTCCAAGCGACTGTAAACATCCGCGTTGGAATCGTGTCAAGTTGGATGGATTGAGAAGCGTTTGGCTTCCATGCCGGCTCTCAAACCAGCTTTCCCAACATGCATTATAGAATCGTGGATGTACGAGACGTTGCCGAAGCACACATTGCTGGCTACGAAGATCCCGACGCCTGTGGCCGCTACTACTGCGTTGCGTACGCTAAGCTTTGCAAGGAAATTATTGAGTTCCCAGAGTATCCATACCAGACAAGTAAGCCATTCTTCTCGGTCGCTTTCGATAAAAAAAACATGTTTCTTCTCTAGGAATACCCTTCGACAAGATCTCAAACAGGAAAATCCTGTCCCTTGTGAGCGAGTTCGGTTTTTACGAGAAGATGCTGGTAGACATGGCTGCCAGCCTACAGGAGAAAGGTTTACTATCAAATATCAACTACTAAACGCTTGGAATTTTGTCAAGCTAAGCCGTTTTTGTCCGAACTCTCATGACCATCTAATGTGACTTTTTCTCTTCAGATAATACTGGAAGGAAATATGTTCTTTGAAACAGTAGTACTATAGGGGTCATTTTGCGATCATGGAGGGAGGGAAGAGAGCTTGCGTGATTGGCGCCGGCGGCTTCATCGCGTCGTGGATCGTCACCAAGCTGCTGGATCGAGGCTACAAAGTTCATGGCACCGTTCGAGATCCAGGTGAGCGATGTATTGGTCGGTTCTTGGCTTTCGATTCCTTTGGATTCCAGATGACAATGAGAAGTATGGGCATCTGAAGAAGCTCCCTGGAGCCGGGGAGAGATTATCGCTGTTTAGAGCTGATGTTCTCGACTATGAGTCGCTTGTGCCCGCTGTTCGTGGCTGCGATGTTGTCTTCCACACCGCTTGTCCCGTTGCTCATAAGTTTGAGGATCCAGACGTGAGTTTTTCTTCTTTCTTGGGGATTTTTCGTTCTTATAGATCATACTGCTGTCTTTGATAGGCTGTGTTAAAACCCGCTATGGATGGCACTCGAAATGTAATGGAAGCTTGCCACAAGGGGAATATCAAGCATGTTGTGTTCACCTCCTCTGGAGCTGCCATACTTTTCGATCCAAACCGTCCGCCGGATCATATAATCGATGAGAGCTGCTGGTCTGATCCTGAATTCTGCCGAAAGAGCAAGGTAAAAGGAAGAGATAACGATTCTTTCCTAAACTTGTCACTATTTTTCTTCCAGAACTGGTACATGCTTGCTAAAACCGAGTCCGAGAAGCTCGTTTGCAAACTTGGGGACGAGTTTGGGATCCATGTTGTTGTGATCTGTCCAGTTTTCGTACTAGGCCCCATCTTGCAATCCAAGATCAACACCAGCGCTGCACTCGTCGCAAATCTGATGAATGGTACAATTTTTTCTTCTTTTCTCTTTTAAGCTTTGTTCAGGCTCGCAAAGTAGCTACCCCAACACATACTATTCACTCGTTGACGTGCGAGATGTTGCCGAGGCGCACATTGCCGGCTACGAGGATCCCAACGCCTCTGGCCGCTACTACTGTATTGCGTGCTCCAAGCTTTGCAAGGAAATCATTGAGACTCTCAAGGAGAAGTTCCCCCAGTACCAATACCCCCACAAGTAGGCCGTCCTTGCGTGATCAAAAACACTTTTTTTTTCTTTCTATTTTGCAGGTGTGAAGGTGAGATCACTGAAGGTAACTCATTCGAGAAGATTTCGAACAAGAAGATTCTGTCCCTCGTCAAGGAGTTCATCCCCTACGAGAAGACGCTGGTGGACACGGTCACTAGCCTGCAAGAGAAAGGCTTGCTCTAACACAATGGTCGAAATGCTGGAATAAAAGACAATGTTTTGAGGTAAAGGATCCAGTACTCTAAACTTTCTTCCAGCTACCGGATGCACTGGTCTTCACGGAGATCCACCCTCGCTCCAGTGGCGGCATGAGAATCAGGTTCCATACCAAATTGATCACTCCTTTGGAAAGAAAGGATAACCACACATATAACGATACTAATAAATGGAAAACTTCAGTTAAAAACACTACTACGCTTGTTATCTTTTCGTTTGTTCTGTTAATAGGCAGCTATTTGATATAACAGTTATACAAGAAGTCTTTCTTGGCGCAAGCATCCATGCAATCACCATGTCTAAAGCCCTTCTATAATTCTACCGTACTAGATCCAAACCCGAGATTTAACTTCTTGTACTCGTGCTTCACCACTGTATCCAGATACCACGCATCTAGAACACGGTAAACAGGCATTGCAGGCTCTTTTCATACGAAACGAAGCTTAATGTGGCTTTTGATCATCCTTCTATGGTTTGCGTCATTTGCTGAACTTTGATCTCTTTTTGCATCTATGGCAATGGCGATGGTGTGGATAGTGATGACGATGGTGATGATCATCACCTCACGAGCTTGCACGATGGTGTTGACGGCGGATCCAGCCTCCTATGCCAACTTCTTCGGCTTGATCCTCATGGGTGGACAACGGTTTGTATTAGTGATTTATAAGTAAGAAAATTATATTTGGTTTGCCATAAAGAAAATAATAAATGAAAAAAAAATTAGTTTCATGTGAAATAGAAGACAAATATCCTTAACCACCTTAGTCGTAATAAGAAAAACATAAGAAAGCCAGGGTATTATTGGCTAAGTGCTAAAGTAATGAGATTTATTGGCTCAAGGTGATTATAATGCTCATTATAATCATAGCTTCCTATTCATGTTGGTTGGATATGGCTTTTGCATGCAAGACAAGATGGTTGATTACCATCATGATTTTTGCAAGTTCATCTTCAGGGGGCGCTACAGATTTTCAAACCTGGCAACATCAACTTGGCTATGTGAATTACAGTAGTTGCAACGAGATAAGTGGTTGATAGCTTGGCCATTACACCTTCTTCAATGCCATTATGTGAGCCTTACATTTTAAGAAAGCAATATCATTGAGCTTTTAATTCTAGAGGGAGTGTTCTTGCACAATATCCTCTCCAATTGGTTCACTCGGATTTTTGTGGCCTTTCTAAGTGATGGCATAAGAGGAGGTACACAAAAAGCTGGTTTTTTATGTATAACTAGTTTCAAAACTATATGGCTGTGATTGGGAAAAATTTATATGCCACTTTTATTGGTTTGGGAATGGTTTTTTAATTGGGTTATGCTCTAGTTTGGGACCATCATAGAAGTGGTTTCACACATAGGGTTTGCTAGTTTCTAGTATGAATTTAGGAGTTGTTTTGGTGTGGTTTCTAGGAATATTTTGGGAATAAAAGTATGTATAGTTTTCTATATAATTCACCAAGATATAGTTTTGACTGTTTATATGACTAATGGAAAAAGTAGTTTTTGGATTAATGTTTTGGCCACCTAATTTTTAGCTTAATTTACATATGTTGCTTCATATAGATTTTATATATTTGAATATAGACTGGTTTACAATATATTTTGCATTAGATATGATTTTAGATATATTTTCCTAGTTACTATTACAATAGTGTAGTCCTAAGTATTTGTGGACTAAGTCTTGTCGAAAATAATTGCTTATCAAATTTCATAACCCATTCACTAGGCTTCCTCATTGATAGATATGCTCCTTGCTCCTATAATACTTCTTTATGTTAACAAGAGAAAGCTCCAATGTTGAGAAGTCATTATGTTGAGTTTAAAATTTTCTATAGGTAACTTTTTAGTTTAAGTGAAGAAATGAAGCTATTTACATAGATTGAATATGATATTGCTTTAGTGATAGTTGCTTTTTTTGTACACATTCTCCTCTTAGACTCTATATTATTTTTTTCTTTCTTTTCATATGCAACAATAATAGTCTCTTTTAAAAAATTTAAGTGATGTTAAGTGAACTGAAATATGTGGCAATTACCACCTATTTAAGTGCTAACTTTCCTCCCATCACTTGTTCTTCTAATTTTTTTCTGAAAACACCAAGAGGCATTTGAAGTATACAATTTGTGCTTCAGTTAGGTAGGAGGAAATAGTCATATTGTTGATAAAGATCCAAATGCACCATAGAAGGTAATTATATATCTTTAGTTTTTTTTGCCTTTTTATTGAGAGCCATTCTAGAGGTTTGTTCTGGTAGTGTTCTTTCTTTCTTAATAGCATTAAACCTTTTTGAAATTTTTGATAATTAAAAATCTAGCTATATCATTTAAAAAACCTAATCCAAAAGCTCATCCTCAACAGAGAATTTAAAAAGGCATTTAATCACATCCTGCCACGATAACTTTATGTGGATAATAATTATTACTATATACATATAAACTAAGTCTTGAAACTTATTTTTTATGCCCAAAAGGGATTAATTGTTCAATTGCTCAATTCAACATGCTTAAGAAAGGCATCATGTTGAGAAGTTCATATAGAATCCATTGTGCTTAACGAAATCATAAACTTTCATTATAACCTTAACTGTGCATTTCTCATAAGTGGATATTAAGCAAAGATTCTGTTTAAATCCTATTTGCATATATTAGGAAATTAAACCAAGCATAAAAACCAGTAAATACAATTGAAATACTTGAAATTTTGGATTTGTTACTTCTCTATAGAACTTTTATTTTACATTATCAAACTATAACCTAAAAAGACTATATTAAATTTAAAGAAGAAATATATGCATAAACTTGAAAAGTAACAACACCTCGCAATAACATCCTTATAAGGACTCATCCAAGATTTGGAAATTGTTATTTTTGTTAAGATTAGGTCAAATAGGAAATTAAGGATGTTTTTATTAGCTTTAATCTAGCACAAGTGGATGAAAGACTATATTAATAGCAAAGACAATGCTACCATTAATAGCCTTGATGATGGTATACTATTCTATATTTTTTATTACATTCTGACGAAATGCTCCTCACTTAAATAGGTCTCTTATTAGGGTGGAACTTTTTTGTTTTTTTAGACTTAAGTTTTATTTTATTGCTTATGTACGCTTATTTCTATAATTTAAAAATTATTTAAGTATATTATTTTAATTATTTTTAAGTATATAAAAGTACAAACTACTTTTTATTCTACTATAACAACTACATAGAATGTGTAAATAAATTTTCTTTTCTTTTATATATATATATAGACACACACACACACATATATCCCTTAAATCACTGGGAAATAGTTAGAAGGAGTCATTCACAGCCAAATCTTCTTTATGTGCTATGCAATATACTGGTACAATATAAGGGATAATGTAATGATTGCTTCAAAATCATAACTTCCTTTTAGTAGGGATGTATAGCCTCTTCATGCAAAAACAATTTTCTTTCTAAAATCAATGTAATAAAAGCACTTCATTCCCTCATTTAGATGAATTATTAATACTGTCCTTTTTTGGCCTCTCACTCTTATAATTGTTCATTGTCAGTAGTGTGAGAATTTAATCAAACCCAAAATGAGAGTTTAGCCCTATGTTTAGCTTTGTTGTTAATTATGTTTGTCTATAGTTTAGCTTTTATTTAGTCCCTCAGGGATGTAGAAACAATACCTAGAATATCCAAGTATATTCTAGGATATTCTTCAATCTAAACTTTTCGCTTAAAACCAGTGTTTGATAGTAATTTTCTTAATATTAAAGTCCATATTTATGTTTTGTGTTAGTTAATAATACTTAATTTTTTTATTGATAGTTAGATCATTATAAATCATCCTTGGAACATAAAAACAATATCCACTGCAATAAAATCTAATTATTCCACTTGCAATTCAAAATATTTCAAGTGCTATAATCACTAAATGTATCTATCAAACTTCCTTTGGATTTAGGAGTCAAAAACAATTAAATTTTCCTTTTCCCCTACTTTGTTGCATCCTTAGACATATAGCTCAATCCATACCTTAGAAATAAATATATAAAACACCATTATAATACCAAGTATATGAGAAAATTGACAACTTTTGTAGTGGGGAAGGTTGTTCCAATTCTTAAAGAGTTTTTCTACCCTTGTGCTCTTACTTTCTAGTGTGTATTTTGTAGTCATTGTCCACAATAAGGTCTAAATCTTAAATGTTTGTTCATAGGATTGAAACTCAAGATCTATCATACATGGGTATATAGGATTAACATAGATCAAATTTTTAGATTAGATTTAAGTTGGACAAGATTAGTTTTTAGAGACTATAAAATAAAATTCATTTTTTTATTTTCTTTATGTGAGGGCCAAGTGTACGGCTACGATGCCGTATACTAATATTAGCATAGTGGGATTTTGGTAGCCGTCGGATTGGTTTCAATCCGGACCACTCGCTCCTGTATATAAACTATGGTTTTTGGGCTAATTGATATGCACATTTCTGTATTCTCTTTCCATATCCCATGCACTCACATTGGTGGAGGTGAGGGCACCTTTGATTTTCCTTGGGGAGTGCTTGGATTTGGGATTTCGGTTTAAATTTAGCTTTTGCATCGTTTAGATCTAGCTTTTTCCATTTCCTTTCTTTTGTTCTTTCCTTTCAGGATTTTGGTTTAGATATAGCTTTTTGTATTGTTTAGATCTACCATTTCTTTCCAGCTTTTTGTCATTTCTCTTCTTTTGCTCTTTCTTTTTCGTTCATCTTCATGGCCGATCTGCAATCTCCTCCTTTGACTCTAGAGCAGTAGTTGGTTCAATTGCTTGATGCTATGCACTTGCAATTGAACAACCAAACTCAATTGATGGCGGCATTCACGGCACGTGGTCCAACTCCTCCTGCTCTTGGTGCCAATCCTTGCGTTCGGCCGGAGTTCTTTCGTGGGAATCCTGGGGATGATGTGTACCATTGGTTCGATCACTTCACGGTGATTGCCACATATCATTCTTGGGATGATGCTCGACGTTTGCATGAATTTCCCATATGTCTCC